CACGCACACAGGCAACACGCCGCATATACGTGTGCGCTCGACGCGTATATGCGGCGTGTTGCCTGTGTGCGTGCGTGCGCGCGCAGACGTGCTATCCCCACTCTATCCCCACCATCGCGACAGCGATGTAGCTGGTAGTCCAAGCTGGCATCACTAGGGAGGCGAGGCGCGCCGCTGCCCGTCCGCCGCTTACGCGACCGCTCGCACGTCTCCCCGCGCGGGGCCGCTAGGCCGACGCATCTTACCGCGCGCTTACATTCGCCAGTAGGTTGGGCTAATACGGCGATTTTTAAAAGTTCGTATCTCGATAACTATTCGTCCAAGCGCAAAATAGTACAATACTTTTCTGTTTGTCTTAGTCCCCTCTACCTTCCCATGACCGGAAGTCAAAGTCTTGCGTAGCACCCTGTATATTATATATAAATATCCATTGTTATATTTGGCGTAATTTGTTGATGATATCATTACTTTTGTGGAGAAGATAGTTTTGTAGAGAAGATACTTTTGTAGAGAAGATACTTTTGTAGAGAAGATTTTTGTAGAGACATTATTTTTGAAAAGGTATTTTTGGATTGTCTAAACCGCGGGCAACGGGCGTCCGCGGGCGCCCAGCCGGCGGGTATGCCCCCACTTCAATCATCGCCCCACCACGTTTAAAACTATTTAGTTTAGTTGGTGCCATTTGATGATATCATTACTTTTGTAGAGAAGATAGTTTTGTAGTATGCATCTACCGGAGGCTGATTTAGATAAAAGAAGTCGAAGTTGCTGAAAGGAACGGTAAATTTTATGGAAACGATAGACTATATGCTACATTTAAAACTTCATAATATAGAAGCATCACTTAAGAAACAATCAAATTGATAACTTACCTCACCTAGTATTGCATTAGAGTCATTGATCTCTCGACTCCTTTTTGTTGAAGAAGGATATTGTATAATTTTTGTTGGCTTTAGCACTTCTTCCGATAATGGTAAACCTGCAGAAGTACTCTACACATTCCATTTTTGAATTTATTTTAACACGTTGCATTTTAAAAGTAAACTTTTATATTGTGGGATGCGACTTTACCAACATTATCGGTAACCGGATGGCGCAGGCGAACGTGTGAGCGGAGGAGCGCTCGGATCGCCGGGCACAAGTTAATCTGAAGGCAGTTGCTGTTCTGGTCGGAGGTTAATAAAGAGATCGACACATTATATTTTAAGACGAGAGTGTTTGATTGAGTAGACGAGCGAAAACCCGACCAGTCCTTCCTACAATTTTGGGGGCTCGTCCGGGATAGGACCGAGACGAGCAATAGAAACGAAGACGGCAACGACGACGAAAAGATACGGAGAGCAACGCAGTACGAGACGACGCGACTCTCCCGGAAGATAGCATAACGACGCAACGACGGCCATTAAAAAGTGAGACGAACGAAGATAATCTTCGCAAAGTTGAGAGGATACGACGAAGGACCTGGTGACGACTAGCGTGAAGCAGACGTAGCATCCGGGAAGACGCGACGACGCAAGGCTACAACAACGAATTGATACGTAGTGGCAGCCATATCTCGAGATGGAGAACCTGGCACAAAACGAGACGATCAAACAAAAGATTCGTGTGGCGTCAACCGCCGCCATTACGGCCTTGCATAAACTTATTTTCGAGGAAGAAGGAGACCGGAAGAATCGGCAACGCCTACGAGATTTCCAAGGTTTCACGTTTCAAGAGGATTCATCGGAATACGCCGACAAAGTAAAATACGCACGACGGCTAACGATAGGTGATCTTATATCGTGTTGTAACATCGTTGGACTTGAATACGATGGTAGTAAGGAGGAAATAATAGATCGAATCTGTAAAGGATTAATGGACATAAATACGTTAGCACCCGAAGACACTGAAGAAGAAAACGAGGCGATACTAGAAGAAGATGACGACGAAGAGGTGAATACGAATACAAGGGAGCGAAGTGAGAACGCAGGTCAACGTAGCACACGGGAAGACGGACAGGCGCTTGTAAAATTCTCAATGACATACAGAGATGTAGAAGGTTCGATCAGACCCTTTAGTGGTAAAGACGCTTAGCCAATAGAAAGATGGATAGCCGATTTCGAAGATACAGCTGCTCTGTTCAACTGGACAGAATTACAAAAGGTAGTGTTCGCCAAAAAATCGCTGACAGGACTCGCCAAGATGTTAATAGAAAGTGAGGGAGTAATTAGAACGTGGCAAAAACTAAAAACCGCCCTGGAAGATGAATTCTCCGATAAGGTAAATAGTGCCCAACTACACGACATGTTAGTTAAGCGCAAGTTAGAGAAGAACGAAACGGTACAGGAATACTACTTAAGCATGAAGGAACTGGCGTCGCGTGGCAAGATCGAACCAGAGGCACTAATCCGGTATGTAATAGACGGTATTCCAGACGATACGAATAGCAAATTGATACTATACGGAGCCAGCAAATTAGAAGCTTTCAAGGAAAAATTAAAGACGTACGAGGAGATCCGCAAACAGAATCAAGAGAAGACGAAGAACGACCGTGAAAGGGATAGGATGCCAAAGAAGAAAGAGACACCGAAAAGACCCACGACACCCAAGAAGACAGAAGAGAAGGAACAGGATGCGGACGTACGCTGTTACAACTGTGGCGCCAAAGGACATAGGTCTAAAGACTGTAAGAAAAAAGAGTTAGGTAAAAAGTGCTTTAAATGCCAGAAATTCGGGCATACGGCTATTCAATGCGATGCAGCAGACGCGAGTAAGACGGAAGAAAAACGAGTACCCGTTAATACGATTACCACCCCACAGGTAAATAAAATGTCTAAAAAAGTAATTATAAAAGGCTTACATTTAGATGCGTTGATTGATACGGGTAGTCAAGTAACGATAATGCGTGAAGATATTGCCACAGGATTTTCCTAACTCCGTCTCTACTCTACGGAAAGTCCGTATCCGTGATATCCTGTTCGGAGCTTCTGGTCCGATTATGTCCCGCTAGCCCGCGATTCCGTCGTCAATCGGCCGGGGAGCGTACGGCAAACTCTGGATGGTTACTTCGCGAGGCGCTCGGTATACCCGAGCGCGATACGATAATTTTTGGGCGCCAGGCGCGACTATTCACGCCACTCTAAAGCACGTAAAACACCAAGTTCTTAAGACTCGGTAGCTCGGTATGAGATTTCCCCTCTCAGGGGGGGGGGGGGGTGCTTTCTGGGCGATGGGCCCTT